TTGGGTTAAGCTTTTTTCTAGAATAATTTTCGTTAAGACTTGCTGATTACATCTTCATGTGATACGATCTCTGGCCATTCACCAGAAAAAAAAGTACAAAAACATGTATTCTCATATACGTTAGAATTATCATCCTTTATCGAGTTTCGTGATTTAACGCTATTTAAACTTATTTCTGAGATATGAAGAAAAGTTGGGCTTGTTAGGATCCCTTACTAGCTTGATGCGAGCGTACCTATTATTTCGTTTAAAAAGGCGGATGAAAGGAATTAGTAAATTATGGCATGACTTCCTATTTAGAAATGAAAGTTGGTTGAAGGAATTCGTGCTGTGGTCTCATCGGAAACCGAAGGAGGATTGCTGCGTAGGGAAGACTGTTGTATTGTGGGAAGAGGTCCTCGACTCGCCGTACTGCGACCCCAATGAAGCTGTGCTAAGCTTGCGTCTCTTGGCTTAGCGTATTCTTACTCTCTTTTGTAGAGTATGGATCTTTGCTCCCATGATATGTGTCGCAGTACTGACGAAAACTTGGTGCAGGTTCATCCGTGTCGCAGGACGGTAAACCGAGGACTTCTTCGCACAGTAAGACAGTCTTCACTATGCAGCAATCTTCCTTAGGCTTCAGGTGATATCACATTATGAATTCCTTTTAATCAACTTTTTCTTCGAAATGGAAAATCATGTCACAAAAAACAGGTTTAGGTAAGTAGAATTTCAACCGACCACCTATCTTGGTTTTGTATTTTGGGTGATTATTCGTGAATAATTGTTTTTTGGCTTTAACGATGTCCATTACATGATGATTTTAAGCTCAGCACGGATTCATTGGGGTCGCACGAGGCCTTTTTCACATAATACAATAGTTACAACTCATCTTTGGTATCCTTTGAGGTCAATTTACCTGTCTTTTCAAACTAAATCAAATGTGTTTCTATTTTGCCTTTTATCTGCTTTTCATTGTGTTCTATTCTTATTCAATACTTATAATCAATTTTTTCTATTCTTTTTCATATAGTTTTTCTTTTTGTTTCGCCTTTCTTTCATTTACCCTTCATCCTTTCATCACTCTTTTTTTCTTTTCCGTTCTAATTTCTTGACTCCTCTAAATGCCTGTCACTTTTCAAACCTCAAGCGTCCCGCTAAGAACGACCTTGATGACGATGATGACATCATTTTATCCCGCAACGATGTAATTTCCGCTAAAAGTGCTTCAACCGGTGGTGAAGTTAACACAATTCCTACCAACGACATTGTTGTAGGCAGGACCGTCGCTCCTCCACCGCCGATGCCTCCGATTCCTCAGCCTAACTCTCTTCGTCAACCCTGATTATTCCTCCATTCTCATCTAAAGGCCGATCGGAAAATAGTCTCTAAAAACCAGACTTTTTCGTTATGTAGATTTTAATGAAGCGTGCTTTTATCGCGCCATGCTCGCTTCGACCACAATTAGTCTTTATTCCTGCATTTATCTATGCACTCTTTAGCATATATAGCACTTATGGATGAGGAATTAAAGCGAATATTTTCCTAATCCCAAAGCATTTCACTCTATTCATTACGGCTTAGCTATTTAAACGGCCTCTTAATGCTTCACACATGAATTTTCTATTCTATAACAGGTCACAAGCCTATGATTATATTTTATTTCTATTTTCCTTCGTTATGTCTTTTGAAGTCGTTTAGATTCTTGCATTTCTATAAAATATATATCCGCATGCCTGACGATATTGATTCACACAGGACAAATTTGTTTATGATAAGTTACTAATTCCTAATGTATCGTGAGTTCTAGTTTAATCTGAGCTTAATTGATTAAATCCAGTTTGTATATAATAACAGGCCAGCATTTATCATCCGTTTTCCCTTGTTCATGACTAGTTGATTTCACTTATCTTGTTTTCTCACCCCCTTGTTGTCTGAAACATTTATTCCGTTGAAGTGGGCTCATCTTGACAAAATCTCACGCTAAAAGATTAACGATAAATTTAATTCCGACTTTTCTACTTTTTTATCGAACATTACTTCTTTGGAATCGATATTCATCAAGTTTCAAGTGTTTGGGAAAAACTTTTCATATGCCGTTTTTATTCATTCTAATTTCTTTTTTCCGTTTCGCATAAAATCTGCTAATTTATTTCTAACTTATTAGTTCAATTAATACTCGTATAAAAATTTGAGTCAAATAATCATTCGTCTTGTGGATCTGCATAATTTAATCTATTATTTATTTAATATTTCCTATTTTTATAATGTGTTCTTTGTTGTCTTTTTGTGAC